CCCCACTCCATTTCTATCTTACCTCATGCGAGGAACATCACTCTCTACTGGAGCAACCTGACCAGACAGCGGACGCGGGCACCGACGCTGAATGAGCTCCCCCATTCAGCCCCAGTTGAGGCACTAGCGTACAAGCCTCGTTATACGGGAACCTCGGGAGCTAGGCACATAATTCTCAGCTAGTCCCATGAGTAGTGAGGGCACTCATAGGCAGTGTCTAATGGTCAACTAACCAAGGTCTTAACCTATGAGCGCCTCTAAGCATAACCTAGCACAGCTCGGATTATATATGTCAACTGTTAGTTGTTGAGTATGCTGGTTGTTATGTGAGCTAATGTGATATCATAGTCTATGTGGATGTGTGTGGTTGCTTTTCTGCTACTGATGAGCCTCACATAATTCTTAGCTAGTCCCGTGAGTAGTGAGGGAACTCATAGGCAGTGTCTAGTGGTCAACTAACCAAGGTCTTAACCTATGAGCCCCTCTAAGCACTAACCTAGCACGGCTCGGATCATATATGTCTACTGAACAACGATTTCGTCAAAACGGACATTTTATATTTTTTGAACGAAATTGAAATTGTCATTTCCGTGGTGATTCAGGGTCAAAAATACATTTGAATTTGGGGTATGGGTACACATGCAAAGGTAAGGGGTACGGGGTAAAGGGTACGGGGTAAGGGGTAAGGGGTAAGGGGTTTGGGGGTAAGGGATAAGGGGTAAAAGACAATGGGTAAGGGGCAAAAACCTAGAGCAATGGTTTGTCATCTTCTATACACTGTTTCCATGACAAACAATTTAATGTTACCCACATCCATCCGCATGTAATCACAATATCCAGCAGCAGGCTCATACTACTCRCGAGYCACTGTGTCCAAAGCCATTCGACGACGTATTGCGGGTATGTCATCAGCGGTGAAAGAGAAAGGCGGAAGGTGACCCCTTGCCAATAGCGATGCGTATGCGAGCATGAAGACCCCACACGAGCTAGTGTCACGTTGTTTCGGGACACCCTCTACGGTCCATATGTGATTAAACGGTTTCGTGTCCACCTCTTTGCCTTGCCGAATCGATCTTTTAAACAAAAACTTTGCAAATCCGTCGGTCACTTTGGCTGCCAGTTCTTTGTCGGGGCTGAGGGAGTCGTAAAATTCAAATTTCCTCCTCCTGAAGTCAGCCACAACGAGGGTCCAGTGGTTCGTGTGTACGATATGGAAAGGGGCAATTATCAAGTCCATGTCACTTATTATGATGTCATTCGACCAATGCTGCACCTCTTGCTCTTGATATCTCATTCGTTGTCAAAAAGTCTGGCGAAGAAAAACGAGCTCAGCACTGATATTCTAGGAATGCGACCCTTTCCGATTCTGATCATGGTTTCGTTCTCGGCGTCGCATTCTACATGTGTGACTCTACACCAGTTGTCTAGTGCGATGAGGTTCAGGTAGAAGTTGACGACGTTGTCATTTAACTAGTTCCGCTCGTCGACTAGTAAAATCAATTCGTCTCGAGTTAGCTTCAATACTTCGTTCGTCCCGTGATTGTGTGTGCTCGCTATTGGGAACCTTTTCCCGTACTCCCGGCATACATGTGAGACTGCTTTCATCTCCTTCTCTGATAAAGACGATGTTGCGAGGCACATTGTCCACCCTCTTTTGCACTTTCTTGTATCCGTTGTTGTAATTTGCACTGCATACGACAAGCACGACGAAAACGACATCGACGGCGGTGTAAACAACGGTGACCGAGGCGGATAGGGGTGTAAAAAATGGTCGCCCTTACAGGAAAGATAGAAACGGGTGGGCAGGCGGTGTAAAAAACGGGGAGGGCGACCATTTGAGATACTTGTACATGGGCAAGTGCCTTAGCATAACATGCGAAACGGAATGATGTATTCAATATACATCATCAATGTTTCGCTAAACTTACACTTAGATGAACGACAACACTTCGGGACCAATCAATCCTGACTCCTGCCCCCTTTCATCACCGTACCCCAACGGCATACATGCATATACACAACGCAGCATATCGACGAATATAGAGAAACACACACGCATACTACGACCCACTCTTGTTCACCACACAATTTTCATGTCACCAATTAAAAGGCCAAATCCCGAAAATTTCCCCGCGAAGAGGATTCCCCTCAAGTTCATTCCCTGTCTCACCCCTCATTTTCTGCACGCGTGAGATCGCTCACGCCCTTTCCGCCTTCTACCCCATCCTCATCGTCCGTCGTCATGTCCTCAATATTGCGAGAACGTGGAGACCCCCCTGCATTTCCCCCATTCCCGCCATCCCCTGTGACCCCTCCCTGTGGTGTTGTTGTACAGTGTGCGTCACCTTTGCTAGTGCATATGGGCAGATGCAACGACATCCCCATGACGCCCATCCCAGCAGTGGACTCTGACACCATCTCCGATGTGCCTGCCAGCGCCGCACCTGTCGCGAGGAGACTCCCGTATATGGCGATCGCATCTGTCGGCTTGTCGAGTGACACTTTTTCACCTTGTGATGTATCCCCCGTTGCGACAGAGATGGCTCCGATGGTGTTTTTGCCTGCGGGCGTGTTCCCCGCCTCTGGCAACGGAGGCTTCACGCCCAACGTCGTTCCGCCATCTTCCCTTTGTTCACCCATCGTGTTCCCTGTAGCCGCCTCGAGCACAGGGGCGGCATCTTCTCGGGAGTCCACGTCCATGCTCTCGAGCGAGGCGACACGCTCAACCTTCCAGTCAATCTTGCTGTACGAGGGGCTCGACTGCAACTCGTAAAACTTGTGTGAGTACTCTAACTGCCAAGTGGCTCCCAAGGCGTCGAACAATTGTTTCGCCTTTGCCGCGATGGATGTTTCACTTTCCCCGGGGTTCTCTTTCTGACAGCGGTATATTATTGATTGCTCCGTCGTCTTCAGCCAACTATCCTTTCCCATGCGGGGAAACGGTCTCCAACCCTTCGAGCCATACTTCACCGCCATTTTCCACTCCCCGCCTTGGATACATGGCTCGAAAATGCCGTCATGCCAAATGAAATCATGGCCCCACTTGTCCTCACTAGTGCAGGCGTATTTGTCATCCAAGAAATACACATTGTTTGGATCCGCACAAAATCTGGGAGGAATCGGATCGCCTGGCGCCAGCTTCGYTRRCTGAGCAGGAATATCAAGRTCATCGTCTTCGTYGTCTTCCRCAGGCGTACATACGACCCGGTCCACACCCGAGGCCACACTGTTCGTGGGTGGCAGGTTCGAGCATCCCTCTGATTGACCCGGTCCATATCCCTTGACGTTGTGCTCTATGGCAGCGGACTTCCCACACCACCCGGTTGCATTGGTGTCCTTTTCGATCTCGAGGTCGGAGTCCGACGAGTCTTCCTCGTTGTCAACGGGGTTAAAGCCTTCACCCGATTTAGCGAGGTCTGCATAGTCCTTAAACGTCAGTTTATCTTTGTGAAGATCAAACCTCAAGATCTCGCATCGAGCAACGAATGTCTCGAAGGCGTCAGTTAGAGCACCGTGATAATGTTTGAGGGCCTCGGTCACCTTGGCTTTCCTATATATGTATCCCTCATCAAGGCGTCCATCCGGCGCATCGCGGAACAGGTATTCCCACACCGTCAGTCGTTTCGGTCCCAACTTGTGGTACATATCCCTGTTCGTGCGTTGTGTGGAACGCGGCTTCTCGAGGCGACACTCAAATCTCCCATCCTTAACAAGTATGTCGATGAACTTTGTCAAGTATGCAATGTCCTTGACCGACTCGTCACCGGCAATGACATTATTACCTGCAAGCAATAACTTCCATACAAAACCTGCGTGCGCCCTACCCAGCAAAAGCACACCTTCCGCCTCTCCTACGAATGAACTGCACAACTTCCGCAACTTGCCAGGTTCTCGCTCCCAAATTGAATATGCGGCACTTTCGTCGCCTTCGACGCCACCGTGTTTTCCGAGACACTTTCCGAATTTTTCCTCCACAACATGCACTTTGGTGAGATCGTTGTGAAGACGGGGTGCGACAGTTACTTTTTTTCAGATCCCCTCCTTCAGCGTGCAGCGCGATCGCCATCAGGTCCCGAATGCTCGTAGCGATGTTGTCGTACCTTGTGACGTCGCTCGGCGGCCTGTCCACGCGTTTCCATGACCCGGGGATGAGCTCGATGTCCTCCCAACGGTACAATTAACGGAAGACATCGCTTTGCACATTCTATGGTGCAAAGAAGAAGAGGATCCAATTTGGACCACAACGCTTCGCCATCATTGCATAAAGTGCATCAAAGTCCTGCGAGGTCCATGCACTGCTGAAATTCGCGGTCGAGATGTCCACGATGGCGGCCCTGCATGTCATTTTCTGTGCGGCTGCGACGATGTCGACGAGCGCCGCCATAACCTCCTTTGACCGCATGCATACAGGAAGCAATGTGGTCTGCCTGCCGAGTTTGTCCCACACAAGATGGCGTGCACTGGAGGAGATCCGTTTCACCTTCGCTCAAAGCATATCGAGCTTATCGATCGTGGTGTATATAAAAACCTTGAAGTGAAACGGAGCCTCCTTGTACATCACTTGTGTAGGCCCCAAGCCCGCACCTTGCCTCGCCTCCTCCACTCCTCCAAGTCGCTGAGGGATCGTCTTCACTAAGTTGCTATGCAGCTTCTCCCGTTGCTTCTCCCATTCATCTGCGCATAACCCGTTTGAAGCATACCTCTCTTCCAGGTCCTTGTACGACATGAAGAAGTCGTCGTTCCATTCGTCCCCTGCCCTTCCCTCGACGCGAAACACGACGTAGTTGAACATGCGGACCATGTATCTCTCCTTGCGCATAATGTCGAGGAGGCACTCTGTGTTCACCCTCGGAGGCGCGACTCTCACTTTAATTGCCACCACTTTCCCCGACATGAGCAGGAGTAGCGCGACTTCTCTCTCGCGGCATGTCATGTCCCCGAAGTTCTTGAAGTACGTAGGACACAAATCCTTCCAGGACACGGTGGAGCCCTTGGGACCATCTCTCGCATATATGAAGTGGTACAAAGTCCGTTGTCCCTTGTTCTCGTCAGTGTACAGGCCGGGCAGGCGCCCCTCCATCCTCCCCGACATCTCAAGTGGGATCTTGCCGTCGCCGATTGGCAGCTTACCCTCCTCGAACATCGTGAAAAACTTCTCCACCAGCGGCCAAACCGCGCGGGTGGACCTGGCAAGGTTCAGGTACCCCCAAAGTTTGTTACTCCAATCCTTGTTGTATTCGTTGTCGAGTGCCTGTTTCACGAATGCCTTGTCGCACGCCTTCCCCATGCAGACCCTCAGGAAGTTCTGCCACGTTTTCTGATGCGCAACGGCGACGGCATCCTTCTCGCTGACCTTAGCTTTGGGTGCCTCGATCCTGTTGTTATCGATCCACCATCGACGCATATCACGCACAGCGTCCTTGAAGGATAACATCATGGCGCGATTCTCCCGTGTGTTGTCGAAGAGGGAGACATTGAAGTACCCGCGTGTGTGGTCATCATCGAAAAAAACGACTCGCACTTTAGAGTACGTGCGGAGGCCGTAGACTTTGACGGCCGGGGAGTCCTTTCCAACCAACCGTTTCATGGCCTCGGCAGTATGCTGACCGCAGACAGCGTACCAGTCGAACTCTACAGAATCTCTTTGGAAGAACTCGTCCGGCGTGATTCGCCTTCCCTGCCCCCCGACGGTGACGTTGGGGTCAACCGGCGCAAGAACGAGCTCAGGTCTATCCTACACCCCCGGGTCAACACTGATGGAGCTTTCTATGGCACTCTCGATGCCTCTCACAATGTTCTCAGACAACGAATGGTGGTTAAATAGGATCTTCCCACGGGGAATGGGTTTGACGTCTTGCCTGGCAAAGCCCTGTTCGTCGTATTCGAGGAAGAGACATCGTGTCGTGTCCACGGGCGCGGCGTGCTGAACCAGCTCTTCAATGTCTTCGGGCATGCGAAGGCCCACCCCCTCGCCCTCATCCCCCGAGTCCCGCAGCTCAGGTGCCCTGGACCTCTGCGAGCCTTTCCTACCGCCTCCGCGACCGCCTCCACGGCTGCCACTTCGTCCCCCCCCACCAGTTTTCCGAGGAGCCCGCGCTTCCTGTGATGCCGTCAACGCTCCGCGAGCTTCATTGACGGCGTCGGCCCTCGCCTGTTTTGTTCGACTCGCAGGAGAGGTTGATGCCTCTCCCCTTTTTCGCTTTCCCCGTGAGCCAGGTTCGTCTCCCCCATCCTTCGTCTAGTCAAAGGACTGCGACATTCCGCGAGAGGCTGCAGGCTGGCCACTAGCATCGACCGCGTCACCGACGTGGCAGGCGTCGTCCTCACGGCACCCCTGTGATTCGTTCTGGTGGCGACGGTGAAATTGGGAGGAGCGATTGTCTTCGACTTCCTCAGCAGCATCGTCTCTCTCCTCGTCCATGCCATCGTCCTCACCTACAACATCTTTTTCGTTACCGTCCTCCCCCTCACCACCGCCCTCCTCCTCCTCACCACCGCCCTCCCCCTCCTTACCACCGCCCTCCCCACCCCAACCACCGCCCTCCCCATCTTGGCCCTCGCATTCCTCGTCATCGAAGGCACCCGCACCTCCCCGGAAACGATGCCGGGGACCAGCCCGATATCGCACAGCTCCGTCATCGTAGTCCGTGGCCTCACTACACTGCTCGACCGCATCGCAACCTTTCCGATCTGAGGGCGGAACCGGAGCGAGCAGAGCCTGGACAACCGCACCTGACGAAGACGGGGCAGTCGCGAATTGCGTCCTCTTTCCACCCGCTCTGGCCGGCTGATCCTGGCGCCGTTTGGGCCCCGCAGCCGACGAAGACGGGGCGTCAATCGGCACGAAAACACGGTCAACTTGCTGGGCAGTAGGCAGCCGCGCGAACTCTTCCCTGTATCGCATAACGAAAGCTGCGAGTTGGTCCGTCGGGCTGTTGAATTGGACCAAAGGTCTGTTGAGCATAAAAGCGTTGTCGATGACAGTCAGGGAACCAGTCACGTGGTAGCCATTGGTTTTGGAAAGAAACTTTTCCGGATCCAGCATTTCGAACTCCGTTCCGTTCCCGCGCACGTCAAACGCTTTCATCGACAAAGCCTTAACCCCGTATCCTTGGAAGAGTCGATGGTCAAGAGACACCTTCTTGTCTTCCTTGACCCAGTTTTTCCCCTCTGTCATAGACAAACGTAAGGAAGAAGGTCCTGAACTTCCTGCCGTCGTAGGTAAACCTCCCCGCTTCCGATTTCTCCACCCCTCCGCAGCAGTACCAACTCAGGCCATTGTCATCGCTCAAAAAGACAACGGCTCCACAACCCGGCATATGAAGGCCACCTACCCAATCAAGAGCCCATGGTTTGTCGTGGTAGAGCTTAGACCTGCCGTACAGTTTTTCGGGGGAGGAGCCAGACGCTGTTTTTCCTAAAGGGTCGCACAAAAAAAGACAACAAGAAAACAACACTAAGCGACATGAAGAAACATCCGTCGCGGCAGGGGAGTTTCGCTACCGCCCCACGCAGGAACGCCGGACCCGACGACCATTGTGTGTGCAGGTACGATGTCCCAAAAATAGCAGACCCACCACCGTCCTCCCCCCCCCCCCCCCCCCCCCCCCCCCCCCCCCCCCCCCCCCCCCCCCC